AGCACGCACACACACAGACTTAGCAGGCGGGGAACTCAGTAGGGCATTCAGTCTATGAGCAAAACTCAGAAATCAGCTGTGTGTTTCAGTCCGTGTTTGGACGGGTTATCACAATTGCGTTTAATTAATAATTTCATTTATTTATGAGTTTATTTAATTAATTGAATTGGGGAGGGGATCTAAGAAAATGCCTTAAAATGCTTCAACACTGCTAGGCCAGGGCGCCCGGGGGGTGCAGAAGGACGTCAGAACCCCGTCCCCGCGTCTTCCACTTTTGGCATCCCCATACTTCCAGATCGAAGATGATGTCACATGGTTCGGTGCACTGGTGCAGCCGCATCTGCAATGCAGAGAGTCATGGAATCCAGCACTACCAGGGGGGCGGCCCGGGGGACCATGTCTCCTATCTCATGCTTACTCTTCTTTGTCAGAGGTGCTTCATGTACCGGCCGGTCCCGTCGCACGCAATAATGCTCATGCCCACTGGCAGGAACCGGGCAGGCAAAACTGGCTATCCACATAAACCTGGGTCCGAGTACGTCGACAATTCGAGCAGTCCAGTGTTTGTGTAGAAACCTGGGCCCACCTCGGTCCCGGGTATGGACGGAAGCTGGGATCTGGAACTGGGCACAAAGGGAAAACCCTTCTTTGAACAGCGTGCAGGATCTGATGCTCCGCGTGGGAAAAATTCAGCTCAGTTGGTACGGTCATGAACTCAGACAAAAGGGGGGGAGAAAAAACAAAAAACACCCATAATGAAGTGTTGAAACAGAGTCCCCACTTCGATTACCAATGGGATCAGATGAGTAAGAACAACTCTGAATTCGTAGAATTCGTTGACGCCATCCGTTCATCATTGGAATTCCTTCTTCCTCTGCGAAACTGTTCTCTCCTTTTAAGTCTTAAGCCGTGGTCAGTTTCACCACGGCAAAGCCAGTTCCGTTCATTCGCGCTTTCGATTGCCTGAATTTTTTCTTACCAGGATATGCCGCTGCGATCTCTATCTCCTGAGCTTCGCCCAATCGGTTCCTGAATGCATCCCCCCCTCTTTATGTTTCCTAACGAATCCTAAGGCCTGCAGTGTCGGGTTCGCTCGAGAAGTGTCTCTCTGCTCTCCCCACCCGACCTCCCTGCATTAGGCCTCGGAGATCACCCTTCTCTCTCGCCTGTTCCATCCCACGTCCAATCCCGTCACCCGCAGATTCTTACCACGTCAGCATCAAGCAGGAACCCAGGTGCTGAACCTCCCCACGGTCTGCCACTTCAACACGGCCTCGCAATTCTCCAAAATCATAGGCTTGAAGAGCGAATCTCGCAAAGTTATTATTGGGTTCTTATTTCAGTTTTAAGTTGCTCGGGGGAAGAAAAAACTTCGAGCGCAAAAGGCCTCCCTGCTAAGGGAGTCTGAGAGTACAACGAGAAGGGTATCATGGGAGACTGCGCGAGGGGCGGCAGCGGGAGCATCGCAAACCGGAAAAGAGGATATCACTCTACACAGTAAATCCCCTGGCTTCAGGCTAATCAGTGCTGTACAGGCAGGATAAAGCGAAGAACGCATATTTCTCACCCGAACACAACGCAACCTCATTATGGCTGTATCGGAGCGGAAAGATAGCTCGTACACATTCATTATCAGGGTGCGTTGTGTTCGGGTGAAGACGGTAGTATTGGGACTCCCTACGGATGTTCTCGTCCACAAACAAAAAAGGACGAGCTCGCTCGCCCTAGTACTATAAGCCACGCCCACATGCTGATCGATACGAGGATGCCGAGATTACAACTTGTTAAAAACCCACCTCACGAATCAAGTAGCTCATCGGTAAACATATACGTGCAGAACGAGGCAATGATGTCACGTGAAGGGATCCGTTCTAACCGCTACTAGCCCCCACACGGCCTCTCTTTTCTCTCTCTCTCTCTCTCTCTCTCTCTCTCTCTCTCTCTCTCTCTCTCTCTCTCTCTCTCTCNCACACACACACACACACACACACACACACACACACACACACACACATACACACACACACAAAAGTACAAGCAATCGCACCCCCCCCCCAGCACACAGACAAACAGGCAAGCAAGCAAACACAGAAGTTCATGAGCTGATCGCGCCTCTGATGTAGATGCGAACGGCTGCGTACCTCCAATATAGGAAGGCTGTTTCACATCCGTTACTCTACCTTGATAGAGACGGCAAGCAGAGAAAACAAACCGCTTGAATCCGACTGGGTCCCATCCATTGACAATGAGGCAGAGAAAAACAAATTACAACTACGCATAATTGAGATCATTGGCGGACAACGACAAAGGACTTGCACGGCAGTGCACACAYAGGAAAAGGAAACGGAAGCACGAGAACCACTCACTCCGACACAGAACAGTCCCAATCATYCCAAGCTCCAGCTCATCTTCTGTACAAGCTCCAGCTCATCTTCCAAACGTACAGACGACARAGTAACACTCGTTACCACACATATCAATGATCGCGATTCCGGAAAGAACAAAAAAATTATGACGATTCCAAATTCCAATCAATTAAATCGATAAACCGTTAAACACCAACGAATTAAACTATCCGACTGCCGGCAAACTCGTCTTCAACCAAAAGCACAAACTTTAAGGCAAACTACGGATGCCACAGCAGTCGAGGCAACGAGCTGCTGTCTGAACCTGACCCTACCTCTTAGTATAGACCTAGCCCTCTCATCCGAATCAAACGCAGAGAAAGTCTGGCTATGGATCACCTACTGTTCTATTCTACGATGGCATATGCGATCAACCGCCTGCCTCCACACGAGGCTTGGAAGTCGCCGATGCAGATTCCTATACTGTAACTAGTAATGAATCCCGCCCACACTTCAGTACTTGTAGTCCTTAACGTGCAGACTCTCTGACGCTCCCTCGATCGCGGGAGCGCCACTGTATTTGCCGAGTGTCGCCTCTCCGTTACCCTTGGCACGCACATAGAACGCCTTCTGCGCTGCAGCAACATTCTCCACCTTGCCTCCCCATGCCTTGAGCGTGCTCGCCTGCAGCGCCCTGCCGTACGAGAAGGACAGCGTCCATGGCGTCGTGGCTTCCAAGGCGTTCATCGCGTTCAGATTCATAGTCGCCTCCTCCTCGCTCTGCCCGCCCGACAGAAACATGATCCCGGGAASGGCCGSGGGAACCGTCCTYTGCAACGTCCTCACCGTGTACTTGCCCACGACCTCCGGCGCCACCTTCGCAGCGTCCGATCCCGGCGTCACCATGTTCGGCTTCAGCAGCGTGCCCTCCAGCAGCACGTGGTGGTCGCTCAGAGCCTTGTACACCGCCGCCAGCACCTTCTCCGTCACAGCGGCGCTCTTCTCGATGTCGTGCGTGCCGTCGATCAGGATCTCCGGCTCCACGATCGGCACCAGCCCGTTCTCCTGGCAGATGGACGCATACCTGGCCAGCCCCTCCGCGTTCGACTGGATTGCAAGAGGCGTAGGACATCCGTCTGCGCTGATCTTCAGGACGGCGCGCCACTTGGCGAAGCGCGCGCCCGCCTGGTAGTACTTGGCACACCTGGCGCCCAACCCGTCGTGCCCTTGCGTCGTGGTCTCGCCCTTCGTACCTGCCAGGGCCGCAACGCCGGTGTCGACCTTGATGCCAGGGACCACATCGGCCTCCTTGAGGACATCGACGAAAGGCTTCCCGTCTGCCGTCTTCTGGTAGAGCGTCTCCTCGAACAGAATCACGCCGCTGATGTACTGCATCGCCCCAGGAGCGGTGAAGAGAAGCTCCCTCAGAGCCCTCCTGTTGGATTCCACATTCTCCACGCTGATGCTGGCCAGTCTCTTCCCGATAGTGCCCGTGCTCTCGTCAGCGGCGAGGATACCCCTCCCGGGGGTCGCAATTTTCTTCGCCGTGGTGATGAGCTCGTCCGCGTACTTGCCAACGTGCGCCATTTTCCTTCCTTCCGTCCTTCCGTCCTTCCTTGCTCCCGTCTCTGATATGGTCTCAGCGATGGCAATCGCTTCAGACACTCAGTTGGAGGAAAGGCGGGTCATACGACAGCTCTTCTGTAACTCTCGGCTGAGTGATCTCTGTATTTGTATGTAGACCGATTCCTTCCGATTCGTCAAGGATGTCTTCCCTCATGTCGCCCACAGGCCCTCTCCATAACGAATCGACCTCGCTCGTGCCCCTCGTGCGGGAGTCTAGTTCAGGTGTCTGGTATTTTTCAACGTCGTCACACACTCGCCGTGAGATCTCGAAATCGAATGGTACGGACCCATTGATACTCATCATCAGACTGAGCCTCCTCAAGTGGGTGCGGGCCGCGAAATCAAATCTCCGGTCCTTTTTTCCACTCGCCTTTGGTTGTGGGGGGGGGGCGCAATATGCATGCCCTCTAATGGCTGGAGGGAGACAAGAACGCTATGTTTTAGGTAGGTAGTGAAGGTGAATTGAATGAATTTGAAAGATGATGAAAGATTTGACGGAAGGAAACTCCACCTCGAAGTCACTTCGCCAGTTTTACTACCTACATCCTTGGGGACATCCAGTTCGTTTTTTCCTATATCATTGCTGTGCCCACAGGCGCGAATAGAGGCACTCCCGGCCAGACCTCTCCCCACCGCAGCCCATAACAGGGCTGAGCAGGGGGGTGCGTCTCTCTGCTTAGCCCGGGTGCCTGCAACTGCTGTCTGGTCAGGTCACCCTGCCAAGATGGTAATGGGTGATGGTCCCGGGTGGCCACTTCCCGACCCCGTCGTACCCTTTTGCTTGTATCATACCTACCCCAGGAAAACCCCGTTTTGAGTTCTTGCTTTCGGGTGCTGCATTTTCCTTTTTGAAGAGCTTTTTTTTTTTTTTTCGACTACCGAGTTCTGTTTTTCTTTTTGCAAAGTCGAGAAATACATGGGAATTTACGTGCGCCCTAGGAATTGGGCTCGGTAGTTGGGAATTCCAGGATAAGCGGTACTTCGACGTGTCCTTTTTGGGTGAGTAGATGTTCTTGGGCGCGTCGGGGAAAACTCTCGGAATTTTGCGTGAATACGAATAGGCGTAGGATTTTTTTTTCCCGCGTCGCTTTTTCGCGCGCGGATATGGTGATTTCAATTTTGAATTAGGATAAAAGCAAGCTGTAACTGTTTCGGTGCCTTTTTCTTTTTTTGTTGACGGCACCGTGCATGCAAAAGCTTCCTCCTCTCTGTCCCCCGCATCACTACCTCCCGCGCCTCCCTACCCTTCTCCCTCCTTTTTCTCTCTCCCCGTAACTGTTTTTCCTTCTCCCTCTCTCTCTCTCCCACCTTGCTTTCGCGCGCCCATTTCCCTTTCTTGATCATCTGAATCTTGGACCCGTCTTGCGCCACCTCTCGCGCCTTTTCTYTTCTCACCCTCTAAGTCTGGCGTGCGACGCCCGGTCGATCCCCCGATAACTCCCGCTCGCCAATCAGGTGCGTGGATCGATAGGACCTTCCTATCGCGCGACGAACCTGATTGGTTAAACCTCGAGTTCCAAAGGATCAGCATGGCGTTCGTAGAGCACTCCTCTCAAAGTCTTCTCCTCCTTCTCCTCTTACACCTCAGCTTTCCTGTCGCCTTCTCCCCATTCTATCTCCCCTGTCGCAACTATAAAACCCGCAAGCGCGTCCGCAAATCTCTCTTACGTTCTCAACTCTCGAGCCAGCTTCCGGGAAGCAGTGGCTAGGCAGAGTGTTTGAAGCGAGTCGGAAAGTCCTGTCAGGCCGACGATAGACTGGCCGGTTGCGCGCTGGATCGCCACGACGGACTGTGGGATCTGGGTGAACCATGTCGAGTTTACGTGACAGTCGGGATCGTCGGTGCCGGGTGACGATCGCATTGGTGGGAGTTAGCAAGGCCGGGTGACGATCGCAGTGATGGGAGTTAGCACGTGACGGTCGGGATCGTCGGTGCGGATATGAGGATCCATTTTGAGTTGATTGGCCCAGGGCCATATTGGAATTAACGGCGAATACGTCTTTGTTGCGGATTGTTATCTTTGGCGTGAGTGTACGGCGGTGACGCCGAACTTTTCTCTTCCTGGATCTTGTCCTCTTTTGTTTTATACTTTCTTTCCCTCTCTCTCCCTCTCTCTCTCTCTCCCTCTCTCTCTCTCTCACTCTCTCTTTTTGAATGATGATGCGTCTGAATGATTGTCCCCCTCTTGAGTAGGAATGAGTTGGCATCCTGCTTCTGAGTGAAAGAACTTCTTTCGGAACTCTTCCATTAGTTTCCTGGGTAATGCTCCTACGCAAAGACCCCGTCTACTTGTCTTGTGAACGGTGTATGCGTGTGTATTGTGCAATGCGATCCATCTTTTCCTGTGCATTTTCGCACCTTCCACAGTAAATGCATGTATAGAGATGCGTGACTTTTCCAAATTGATTAGACGAGTGTCATCGGGATTTTGTTCGAGAATGCAAGAGTGTTTGGATCTGTAGCTCTGTTTGCACTACGCATGCCATCTTCCTTATGCTGCACGACATCAGTAGCCGAACCACGAGGCGACCCTGAGAAACAAGGCGCCCAGGGACCAACGTTGTGTTGATTTGATCGGACACGTAGCCATATGCGTGATCAAGCTGATCGGTGTTTGCTCTCTCTCTCTTGTGTCAAAAATATTGATTGGGGGACGCGCGAATCGCTTTTGTTCTTAATGACGTCTCCGGATATTTTGTGATTGATTGACATGTGGACTGACAAGTACCCTTCAATTAGGCGCCAGCCTCCCGTATCTCTCATCCCAACGCGATCTTTTCCTTACAGTGAGGAAAGGACACGTGTATGTGAGTGGGACGTACGAGAAGCCGTTGCACAAATCGGCGGGCAGTATTGCTTCCCTCCGGCCAACCGCTGTTCTTGGTTCGTAGAAGCCGGGTTTGTTATTATCAATACGCACTTCCCACCTTACTCGGTATTGTTGCCATTTAACGAGTTAATCGTCATTCCGTGTATGACAGTAGAACCCTACTGGTCGCGCACTCTGTGCACCGAATGTCAGCGTTTTGATCACTACGAAGCGAAGGGCTTCCACTACCGAATACAGAGTGAGGACGAGCATAAGGAAAGAGTCACTCGGCAACGACCATCCACGTCGGATTCGGAACTGACCAACGAACGAAGACGAGATCTGGTACGAAAACGAGACACGCGAAGTGTGGTAGAGCCTTTCCGTTCTAAACGACGGGCTGTAGCTCGGTGGGAAACCCGACAATACTTTTTGGATTGAATTTGAATCTTCCTGTTTTCGCGCCGTGTCGCGGGCGCCTTTCGCGACGCGCGAAACGATCGACTTGCTCCATCGGACCAACACGGGGGATTTCAGTTCTGCTAGTGTTTCCACACTCAATTTCCAAATTTCCTTGGCACACCCCATCTTGCTGTTTTTCTGGGCCTCTTTTCCGCATAGCTAACACTTCGAACGGAAGACAACACAGGGCGCGAGGTTGGTATCGGAGCCGACACGTGTCGGTTCTGATGATAGTAAGTCGAACTGGCAAGAGGTAGGAGAAACCCTCAACTAGCTCATCGAGATCGCCCCGTAACCAGGTCTCAGTCTAGGGTGGCTGCACCAGCAATACCAATGGTGGACGGTACTAGGGTGATCGTTAGCATCCCTGCCCCTTTTCCCTTCTTCCCTAACCATGCCCATCCTGAGGCTTGGCTGGAAGCTGTCGAAGCACAAAACTACAGTGCAACCGATCTTCCCCGTGTTCTGATATTACTACTTCGTAACACATCACATGACTGGTTTAGAAAACATACGTGGGTAGATTGTGATACTTTCAAGCGAGCATTCTTGGCTCGATTCGATACGGTTAGTGAGGATGCCGCCTGGTATGTACTCAAAAATCGACCGCAAGGACCAGGGGAATTATTGCCCAATTTCGTCGATCGATTTCAAACCAAGTTGGATAAATCCGGGCGAGACGAGAATTCCGCTCAAGACTTGTTTATTGATCACCTTCGAAGTCCGACCTTGAAAGGGAAACTGCAGAAAAAGGTTCCGCCGAAAACAACCTAGTTATCGGCTATCATCACCAAAGCGTTGGAGTTAGACTGGGCTGATACAAAAAAATATATTAGCCAGGGAGACAAGGATATTACAGATACCATACGGGATGTAACGGCCAAGAGGCGATTATGGCTACAAGCAGTCGAACGGTTTTATCCCCGCCTCGATCATGACCTTCCCGGTGGAATCGTCTCCGATATCCCGGCTGCTTCCCCTCCCTCTCCTCCGGTGAATCAATCAATCGCAACCGTTAGAAGCGGAACCCCATCCGAACCCCCCTCGCCAGCCATAACTAATTTGCATCTTGCCTAGATGATCCATACGGCCACTACTAAGCAGTCCGAATGGATGAGTAACTTGATCCAACTGCAGGCGGCTCATATGGAGCGGATGGAACAGATAATGAGCAGGCTCATTAAGCCTAACCCAGCTCCTGCTCGGCCTGCCCCTGCATCGTTTCCACTCTTACTGCCCCACCTGCTCCACGGCTCGCGCCTCAGTTCCCTCATCTAGCTAATCCAACAGGGAAGATCGAATGCTTTAACTGCAAGCAGCCCGGGCATTTTGCGCGGGACTGTCTGCAGCCGAAACGTAATCAGCCTCCCCCTGCGACATTCCCCGTCGCCCTTGATCAGGGACGAGTGAGCACTCTGATGGATACGGATCAAGGAAGAGAACTTGTGGCATATGCCACAGAACAGCCCTCCCCTTCGATGGCAACGACATCGACATCGTCAGCTTCTTCCCCTGACGCTGCTTACGTGGTCGATCCTCTCGAGTACCTCCATCTAGCAGGCATGATTGGAGCGATCCGATTGGTCCCAGATGATCTCGAGTGGGTCGATCGCGAATCCAATCCCGGACCGCAGTTTCGGACAGGAGATATTGACGTACTGAGAACACTCAAGCAGTTAGACATTCGCGTGCCCATCCCAGTGGGACATCTGCTCACCATATCTGAAGTGGCGAACGATAAGCTTCTACAACAATGCCAGAAAAATCAAAAGTGTTTCACTTATCAACGCATACAACGGATGTTAATGAAGAAAGAAGAAAGCGAGGAAGTCGTACCCCCTGAGCCTAACACGAAAAAGCCGAAACCTGAAGCCGCACGTATAGCAGCGATCTCTTTAGC